ACGAAAGAGATACAGAACAAGTGGACACAACTATGGAAAAGATCAGCACGATATGCAAAGACGAGCAGAATCGAGCCCAAACTACCATCCAAGCGTTACCTCAAATCTGCCCGCACCCTCAGACGCAATCAAGCAGCCATCCTCACCCAACTCCGCACCGGTCATGTCCCACTTAACACCTACCTTTGCCGAATCAAAAAGGCTCCCTCAGCTGACTGCCCCCACTGCCCAGGTACACCGGAATCTATCCGCCACTACTTCACAGAGTGTAGAAACTACGCGCTGCCTAGAACCAAATTGCATCAGAAACTAAGAAGAAGAGCGTATGATATACCATATCGGCTAAGTAACTCCAATGCTATTAAGCACACGTTTGACTACATACACAGCACGGGAAGATTCACGAACATCTATGGGGACCTGGCATCACGCGACGAATAACCTCTGCCAGACCGCAACCACAAGGACCAACCCCCCCCTCAAACTCAATCTCCGGCTGGATTAAAAACCCACGCCAACCTCGCCAGCAATGGCACTGGTAGACGGACATCAAATTTACGAGCAGGACGGATGTGAAGGAAAGCCAACATAGACACCAGCCCGGCGGCCCAGAGATCTCGCTAGGGACTTCGGTCCTGAGGTCAGTAAGCGCGGCAATGGGTGTACTTAGTTGATATTAACGGTAACGGTGAAGTGGAACATTAGATATTTGTCTATAACACTATAAAATGGAATCAAAAAAAAAAAAAAAAAAAAAAAAATAGTCAAAAGAAAAGACGTATTTTGTTCAAATTTGCTCCACAGTCATTCAAAGTGGTGTATCAACCATGCGCACTAGCCTTGTGTGATAGGCCGGCCGGCCAGAGTCTGAGCCACATGGCTGCCTTGTGGCCTTGTACCCTAAACACAAATTACGGCCTACCTTATGCCAGCCACGCACCTTCATGTACTCCAACATGAGAGTATTGCATGATGGTTTTATGCGTATCCCATCCCAAACACCACCGATATAAGTGCGAACAATCAAATTACTTCAACATCGCTT